GCAATCGTCGGCGCTCTGGCGATGACGAAAAGACCGGTGTATGCTGTTTTGTTGTGTTTTTGCATGTTACTTTAGAAATGAATCTAAACCTGAACGCTGAACGACGAAGTTTACCGAATTCAAGGAAAGCAGTAGTGATCACTGTACGAATAGTGCAGATTCGTATATCAGGCGCCGAGTCATTGGAATGTCGAGAAAAGCGAAACAAAGCGGAAGTGAGGCTTCAGTCCCCTACATCAAATATTTTGAGAAAGAAGCTTATGAGTAGAATGAGAGTGGTCAGGTTTCTGTTACGACTGCTGCAACAAGTGCGCATCAGCATCAGCGCACGAGCACCGGATCAGCTGGTTCCGACTATGAGAATGACGGTGAAACTGAAGGCAAAGGTGAAGAGGACAAGTGAGTGACCGAGTGAGTGAGGAACGGAAAAAGGAGCGGTTTCTTCGGTTTCGTAACTGTTGCATTATGTCACCGAGCGAAACTCGGCACCACCTGATCGAAACTCATGCCGTCGCCGGTATCGCCGATATTGTTCGATTTAATAGCATGGGACTGACGACTGTGCTACTGCTGAAGTGCTGGTGCCGCGAACGCGTGCGCGATAGACTGGCACCGGCAGTTAGTGGAAACGGCATCAGATCCGCAGCTGACGGACAGCAGTTGATCGGCAGGCGATAGACGAGGGAAGTGAGCTGTGCTGAAGACGAGGAGGTAAAGAAACGAGGGTGCGAGACCTCAGTCTCATAATGAATGGTCAACACTGGTCATTCAGCAAGCAGGTGCCATTATACAGGTAGCAGTACGAACCTTTTCCGATAACGAGCACACCAACGTCGCTTCATGAGGACGACGGAGGAAGACAAATTGAGGGACGAGGGAGAGGCGGCTGCGTGGCGTGAGACACGCCAAGACGGCGACGGGGACGAGTGGCAGACCGACGACGATGGTAGCACTTTCACCAAACCACTGCAACTAAGACCGACGACCGACCGACAGACCGACCGACCGACCGACCGACCGAAGAACGAACGAACGACCGACGGAGAGAGACTTTAACAAACGGTGGTCTGGTGTCGACTTCGACTTGTGGCGACGACGACGGCGGCGGCGCGGCGGCAGCGGCGGCGGCGACGGCGGCGGCGGCGGCGACGACAGCGACGGCGACGGCGAGCCGGCCAATGAGCGACGACGGCGGTGTGGCCGAGTGCAATCACCGACGGCGGCACGGAATAGCGCATATTTTTATAAGCAAAAGTGGCGATCGCTCAAAAAACCGTCTCGTCGCGTCGCGCCGCGCCGCGCCGCGCCGCGCCGCCACGTCGTCGCGACGGCCGATTCTGTTCTGCACGGCGGCGTACGCGCCGACATGCATGCGTGCATATGCGTGCATTTCGTGAACGTGCGCGCACGTTCGCGTCTGGTCGATGCGATGACGCGACGACCCCGACCGACCGACCGACTCATAGTCTGTGTCCTGTTGTCGCGCTGCCGGTCCGGTCATCAGGACCCCTGTCCGGTGGCCGTCACCAACGCCGTGTCAGTCGTGACCTGCACCATCAGGCACGGCCACTGCTGATTCATGCCTCGCGACGACCGCTACCAGTCGTCGGCGTCGTCGCCGGCCGGTTGGCCCCTGTAATAAAACCAGCTTGCAAACTCGACGACAGCGACAGCTACATGTAAAGAAAGAAAAAAATGGCTGTTGTCATAAAACGTCACGCGATGCTCTACAAAACGCTGCTGGTTTGTCTTACCGTCGGTCCGTTTCTCAGCCAAGTTCTTCACCTGCATGTCGTTTTCCTCAGTTGCTTGGTTACCTGCCACTGTCCAAGCCGGACTCTTCAGATCTTTTTCAAAAAAAGTTGATGACGTGGCTGGTCAGGAAGTGACAGCCGAGCTCAGCTCTCTGTCGTTGGTCCGCTTGATCCGTGCACACAACGGGGTCAATGGTCGAAACATTGAGTGGTGGTGTGCCGTGACGAAAACTCGTTTCCTTTAAGCTGAATAGACACCCGGTCAAGTCCTCCGTTAGTCAGTACTGAAAGCCCAGAACCGTGAGAAACGGCGTGCGCGACATCGCCGCCGTCCCATCAGATCTATTTTGGAAATCTAGTTGCAGAAGTCTTTGCCACAGAGACCACCTCCAAATGCAGAAAAACGACCTTCACACAGCCCTGCGGTCGTTTAGCAGAATTTTCTTCACGGAAGGGGTAAGATTGCTTAGGATCACGTGCCGTCCCGCCTACGTTACAAACTTCAATTCCTCAAATCGGATAAAGCTTAAATAACGATCGCAGTAGCACACACACACATCCATCAAAAATGCATTCTTAACCAGCAACAAGGGAACCTTGTCTCTATGCGTAAAATCTCTAAAAACTTCGTCAATTTGTTCCATGAATCCATATGTGAAATTTTTGTTTTTAGTGAAAAGATTTTGTCTCAGAAATCAAGACGAGAAGTACCTTATGAGTTATTCACTTCCAGACAGATCTCGCAGCACTTAAATAGCTGCAGCAGTCAGTGAATCTGTGGCTTCCTTAACGTGTTTCTGGCATGACGCTAAAATCTATTCTGAAGTTGCACATGCATCAGAGCCATCGACGACACATGGAAGCGTACATCTGTATATGGGAAGTGGTTTCCATCAACCCAAAGGAGCGTTCCATCTCCCTGCTAATGAGATCACCACCTGGACGCGCCGCTCCCGACAGAAATAATTGGAACAACATCTCACCTGTTGACCAATAAATAGTCTGTTTTTCCATAGCCTCATTCTGAAACGAATCGAACTGTTCCCTGCAACAAATTCTTCTGTTAAAATTCGCTTCCATCAGAATCAACAACTTCGCGCAAACAGCAGTGGTAACTCTTAGCACTGATAACACTTATTTTACGTTCTTCCAAAAATTAATAGATTAATTAGATTTAATATCTACATCTTTTGCCTTGCTTCATCTGCATGTCGCTGAGTTCCCTATAATGCACAACGCTTACTCAGGAGCTGACTGTTTAGCTCGTTTACACATTCTTCAGATAATTGCGACAAGTGTCAGAAAGAAATTTTTACGAATCTAACGTAAAATTCTGCTCTCCTTACGTCAGATAGTGCCTAGAAGCAAAAATGGTTGATGTTTTTCTCAGTTTACGAGGCGAAAGCACATATCAGATCTGCCGACGATTTGTGAAAAAGAAACACATAATGACGACATGAATTTTACAATGAACATTTTTCCCTCCACAGAAAATCTTTCAAAGCCATCAAACAAAATAAAGCGAAAATCGTCCGACGAAAGTTTCTAATGCACGGACAATGGAAAAGTTTCAAAATCTTTCCTTATCGCGTTTCTCTGGTTTTCATTTCTTTCAGAATTTCAGTAGAAACAACTTGATATCTTACACATTTACTTCTGCTTCCAAGCTTGCTGTCAATCTGGCGCACAAACATTTATTTAAAACTGACGTGGCGCACGGAAAGCAGAAGTTAGAGCCTCAAGGAAGGACTCGTTTCCTTTGAATTATCTTTATGGTGTAGCAGGGTCAAAATTCGACGCCAGTGGTTGTGTAGTTTCGAGCTCTATTTTACATTTCTTCAAGCAGTTTAATTGGCAAATCTGCTACACTTTCTACCTGAAGTGTTCTCGATAGCTTCGTAATCGATTCCTTTCTTTACGTTATTGTCTTTGCTCTGAAGCGACTGCCTCATTTCGTAATCCAATTTTCTATAAAACCCTTGAACATAAATATTAGGCGTTATTATGCCCAAGTTTGCAAACTTCGGTCTTTGTGCACAATACAAGAAAAACGTTGCTATTATTTGCTTTTCTAGTGGTGAGCGACACACATTTTTGCCAACAATTCCATCCAATGCATTCGATCGTTCGTTCGCTCGGCCTGTCTGTCTGGATCATGAACGAATGGTTTAATTTTTAAGGTGCTGGACGACCGTCGTGCAGCAAAACCGCATGCCCGGTTTTGCAT